AGTCTGTGAGTTCAAGCCCTGCATCGGGCTCTGTGCTGACAGCTCAGAGCCTGGAGCCTGCTTCAGATTCTGTGTCTCCCTCTCTCTCTGCCCCTCCCCCACTCACATTGTCTCTCTCCCTCTCTCAAAAATAAACATTAAAAAAAAACTTAAAAAAAACTGACTTACTTTTAAAATAACTCTTGCTAATGTTATTTGTACTCATTGTCTATCTTCAGTATGTTGTTTGATAATGTCTTTACATCAGAGTACATGCTTATTGCATTCCAGAAGTAAAATGTGGTAGTATCTAAAATTATGCAGTACTGTTGGGTCTGGCATATAAAAATACCCACCATGGAGTGAAGTAAGTATCAAATAATTAGGTAGTTGGTGAATTGTAGGTAGATGTTGCATAGTGTTTTCAGTGATATTTGGGAAAATTGGCTGGAAATTTTGGAAGAGTTGGGAACACCATGAGCTGCTTTATTCCTATTTAAAATAATGAAACCTAGGGTCCTACTGTATAAATTCACTGGCAGGCTTTCAGGGATGGATAAGGTTTGGATTAAATTTGTGAGTCACGCAAATCTGTTACCAGTTTTGACTTTTCATAATGATGCACTCAACTCAGTTATGTCAGAAGGCAAGAGGACAAGGATGCAAATTTACACGTCTTCCTTATTTTGCTTATCTTATAAAATACATTAAAAAAAATATATAGTTGGGTAAAGGTGAAGAGGGGGAAGGATGGGGAAAGGGAGTGATTTCTGGTAATTGTTCTCAAAATAACATTATAGATTTTTAAGGATATTAGTGAAGAATATATACAGCGGGCCCTTTTCAACGACTCAGATATTCAGCTTGATTTTCACATTAACTGTCTCTAGTGACACACACTGGCTTGGAACGCATGTTCCTACATCCTCTGAGAACTTCATGGAGTTTATTCTACTATGACTAGAGACTAATAGTCTCTATGCTTGTTTTATCTTATTCTTCTTTTGTGTACATTTCCCAGTCTCAACTTGTGGAAAAGCCTTATGGGAAAATGATAGCAGTAAATATATTCAATGCTTCTCATATGACTAATAAGTTAACAACCCATTTTGAGTAGCTGGAATTTTGAATTTTGCCAAGGGCTTTTCTTCCCTTCTGGGTCTTTGGCTTCAAAACAGACTTGTTTGAATTTAAAGGGATGGCTCCTTTGATACACATGTTATATCAAGGAGATAAACTTCTCAGCTTCTGAATGAATGAGAAGTTTTTCTTGAATGTGTAAGGTTAGATTTTGTTTGTCTGCATTTCATTGTTTTTGGACTATTTTATATACCGCCTCAGCCTCGGTTCTTCAACCAATAGACATTGCCCAGTGAAAGTACTCTGGAAAAAAGTTTAGTATTACTTCAAGCAAATATCATAAAAGGCTCTTTGAGGCAACTTTATGGATAAGAAGATTGGTTATGAAAAATCAAGTTTTACTTACTTTTATTTTGTTAATTTTTTAACTTTTTTT